TGGGAAAACCTTCAAGACCCAGCCAAATGGCAGACGGGGAAGCAGAGTTGGGGGGGGTGGATTTTGTGCCTGGAGCCCTTCCAGCCTTCCTGGAAACTGCTCCCCTTCGCCTCTCCCTTCACCTGGGCAGACAGAACACAGGCGTGGTTACAGAGCTGCCTCCCAGGCTCAGCCCCATCTCCTGAGAGCTGATGCCATTGGATATGTGATGACTGCTCGCAGAGACTCAGTCTCCTCGTCTGCAAATGGGTATACAGAATACCACCCCTGCAGAACTGTGCGGGCACCCAGGAGGCCCTCCATACTTGAGAGCTCCCATCCTTCCCAACTTCCCTTTGCCTCTTCCCTCACTGAAGGCAACTGTGTCCGCTTCCACTCCTGCCCCCACACACTCCACCCCCCATCAATGACCAAGCCTCCATTCTCTCGACTTCTCAAATGTCTCCCCAGGCACAGATCAGCAGGATCGAATGGTGGCCAAGGAGCTGCAGAGCAGGGAGGAAAGCTTCCTCAGTCAAGTGTCAAAGCAACTGGCTGATCACTTGGGGAAAAACACTTGGATCCCTACCTCAAACCACACACACAAAAACATTCCAGATGAACTACAGATTTAAATATTTTTAAATCTCATAAACAACTAGAAAACAATGTAAGACAATATTTTCAATACTTTGCAGTTGGGGAAGGCCAGAAACTGTAAAGGTCAAGAGAGGCCAACCTGACCACGGGACAGTTTTCAACATGTAAGGGGTTAAGAAAAGCTCTATAAACTTAAATGACAAAACCCCTCACAAAACTGTGAGAAAATATTTGCAACATATGACAGATAAAGGGTTAAATCCCTTAACCTCTTATAAATCAATTTGTTCCTGCAAGTCAATAAGATACATTTCACACATCCGCCCCCCCATCACTGAAACCAAGGTCATCTGTGATCTCCCGCAGCTAATGCATGATCAATGTTCCTTCTGCATCTTACTCGACCTCATGCTTGAAGCATGTCTTGCCCTTGGCTTCCAGGACCTCATACCTGCCTGGTTCTCCTCTACCTCACTGGTTGCTTCTTCTTACTCACCTTTTTGGTTCCTACTCAGCTCCCCAACTTTTTTTTTTTAAAGATTTTATTTATTTATTCATGAGAGATGGGGGGACAGAGAGAGAGAGAGAAAGAGAGAGAGGCAGAGGGAGAAGCAGGCTCCCAAGGAGCAGGGAGCCTGATGAGGGACTCGATCCCAGGACTCTGGGATCACGACCTGAGCCGAAGGCAGACGCTCAACCATCTGAGCCACCCAGGCACCCGAGCTCCCCAACTTCTAACTGAAGGAGGCTCCAGGGCCAAGTCTTTGGTGCTTCTCTTTTCTATGTATATCCACTCCCTTGATGTGCTCAACCAATCTCAAGGCTTGAAATACTACCTTTATGCTGATAATCCCAGATTTGTGTCTCCAGCCCAGACCTCTCCCCTGAACTCCAGCCTCACACATCCAACTATCAACTCCACCCTTCTTGGATGTCTGCGGGCATATCACACTTTGCATGTCCCCAGCTGGGGCCTGCTCACTCGTGTGCCCACTGGGCAGTCACGCAAGGCCCCCGAGTGTGGTTTCATGCTATTGGTTTAATGCCCTACTGTTATCATTTTGCAATTCTTAATAATTTTTTTAAACAGAGGTCCACTCATTTTCATTTTGCTCCAGGTCCCATACATTATGCAGCCAGTCCTGTCCACAGGTGAGCTCCTCTCCTCCCCTACACCAAACTCACTCCTCCTTATTCTCTGTCCAATCTCTGTTGATGGCAGCCCCACCCCTCTGGCTGCTTGGGCCCAAACCCTTGGAGTCACTGGACTCCATGGATTGACTCCATTATGGACTGAATGTCTGTGCTCCTCAGAATTCATCAGCTGAAGCCCTAACCCCTAATGTGGTCCTGGGAGGTGGGGCCTTTAGGAGGTAATTAGGATGAGATGAGGTCATGAGGGTGGGGCCTCTTGATGAGATTAGTGTCCTTACAAGAAGAGGAAGAGACACCAGGGCTCTCTGCGGGTGAGTAAGTTAGAGGTCATGGGAGCACATGGTGAGATGGTGGCTGTCTGCAAGCCAAGCAGGGGTCCTCACCAAGAACTGAGTCTGCCAGCACCTTGATCTTGGACTTCCCAGTCTCTGGAAGTGTGAGGAATACATGTGTGTTGTTTAAGCCACCCAAGTTTATGATGTTTGGTTATGGCAGCCCAAGATGACTAATGCAGTCATCCTTGGCTCCCTCTCTGACTCACACACACACTCCACCTCATCCAAACTGTCAGCAAGTCCTATTGGCTCTACCATTAGCACCCACCCAGAACCCATCTACTTCTCCCCACTTTCATCAAGTCCCCCCACTCCCAGCCCCCCCCATCTCTCCCCTAGATCATTACAACAGCCTACTGACTGATCTCCCTGCTTCCCTGGCCCCCTTCACAGCAGCCAGGGGGATCTGGTTAAAATGACATTCAGATCACATCATGTCACTATTCGGAACATTTCATGGCTCCCTGCTTCATCCTGATTAAAAGCCAAGGGTGGTCCATGTGGCCCTGCGTGATCTGCTTCTGGTCCCTCTCCGGCCATACCTCCCACTCTCTCTCACTCCCCATGTCCCAGGCACTCTGGCCTTCTTGCTGTGCCCCGAACAGACCCGGCCTGCCTGGCACCCAGGCTCCCATCCATGGGCCTCACTCGCTCGCTTCCTGCCGGTGCTTCCTGCAGCACCATCTCCCAGGGAGGCCTTCCTGACTAACAGCTCCAGCTGCCCAACGCTTCCCATCCCCTGCCCTGCTTTATTTTTCCCTCCTTCGCACTTAACACTCAACACACACATTAGATTTCACTCATATACCCATATCTCTCCTCCACTAGAGCCTAAGTTCTGGGGGGCAGGTCTCTGTTGGCAGTGTTGTTCACTGCTAGGTCCCTAACCAAAACAGTGCCCCACATAGTAGGTGCTCAAGAAATGCCTGCTGAATGAGTGGACAGATGAGTAGAAAAACGAGCTGAGAACATGCCATCAACAGGCAATTCGTAAACGAAGAAATGAAAATGGCCAACAAACATGTACACATATGCTCAACCTCATTCGTAATCAAAGAAATGCAGAAGAAAAGCCATTTTACCCAACAGATCAGCAGAGATTTAAGTGATTGCTAATGCCCACGGCTGGCAAGGATGAGGGGCCGAGGCCTCTTGCACGTGGGAAGTCAGCACAACCTTCTGGAGGTTGACCTGGCGTGTGCCGTCTGACCCAGCCGGTCCACTTTCAGAAACACTCCTGAAGGACCCATAACACAAGTGCACACAGAGGTACCAACGGGGAGGTTCCCTGAGGGAGGTTTATAAACAGCCACACACTCGCAATAATCTGAATGGCCACCGGCAGGATTGATCATTGATACATAATTTAAAGATCACCCAAAAATGGGCATAAAAGGATAAGGAAGAACTCTAGAATGATCTATACAGTATGTTGTTAGGTGAAAACTCGTGACAGAGCAGCGTAACTAGGATGAGCCCATGTTTTTGCTTTTAAAATACATCTCTAAGTGCACCAAAAAAGAGTCTGGAGGGAGATATATTGAACTAGTTAGCAGTGTTTAGTCCTGGGGAGGAAGAGAGTATGGGAAGGGCTCAAACAGCAAGCTTTAAACACTTTCGGGTTGTTAGATAGATAGGTAGAGGACATATAGAGAACATTACCTTACTGGTCAGAAAAATGACTCCACTTGCCATGGAAACACTTCCCCTGTCTCCCCAGTGTTGCAAGATGCAGAAATAGGACATTGCAAGCCCTCTATTGTCTGGCCCTGTCTTACCCCGTTACCCCCCACCTGTACCCCCCGCACCCCAAGCACTGTGGATTCCAAGCTCGTGAAACAATTTTCTATTCTTGGTTCTTTTCACAGCTCCAGGCCTGTCTCACAGCTCTGTTCACGGGCACAGAGGCCCAGCCGGCTCCACCCCATGACCTCCTCAGCCCGGACTCTGCTGTCAGAGAGCCACACAGGGGAGGGCAAGGACCCTGAGAACATTCTTAACAGCCTCCAGCGGGAACCCCCAGGTCTCTGCCCCAGGGCTGGCCTGTGGGACCTGGGGGATCAGGAGATGTCCACTGATTGTGACCTGAGCAGGCCTGGCCCCCCCTGGCTCCAGGACATCTGTCTTAGGCACTGGAGGCAGCTGATCTAAGGGGGCCAAGGTGGACCCATCAAGGACTCGTCAGAAGAAGAGGGGGACTGGGGCTTCAGACAACTAGAGTTGTCAGATTTAGCAAAAATTGTATATCCAATGCAGTATTGGGGATATACTTATGCTAAAAAATGATTTGTTATCTGTTTGAAGCTCTAATTTAACTGGACATCCTGTAAATTTTTCTGACAAGCCTAGCCCACAACCCAGCCCACCTTTGGAGCACTTGGTCCTAAGCAGAAAGCCTCCACCTGGGGCGCCCAGGAGCAGCAGAGAAACGCCGAGTGGATTAAAAAAGTGAGCTGGGCTGCTCCTGGTGCCCAGAGGAGCACCCCGGCCCCGGGGGAGTCCTGCAGAGAGCTGGGGCCTTCCAGAGTAAGAGCCGTCACTCATGGAAGCACACACACAAGGCTGGTGCAGCGACCCTGGCAGATAAAAGCTAGAGTGACAGCAATGGGAGCCCCACAGATGCAGAAGCTACCACAGCCAACGTACTTAGCAAGTGCGTGCCGGGAAAGGATGCTGAACAGACCGCAGATAGCGAGCATGTCAGAGAACAACTGGGCTGGCAGAATGATATGTCCTGGGGCCTCTCGGTGCCCCCCAAGCCCCCCAGCAGGCCCTGCTGTGGCCAGAGCCTTCAAACCCCCCCATCGTGTCCCACAGCATCGCGCCTGGCAGGGGCTCATTCACCAAGGCCCATCCCACTCCTCGCTCCCAGAGCCCTCCCACCCAAAGCAGAGGCATGAGGCGGTGGGAGCCCCCCTGCTCTCCCCCTACCTGGGTCAGACGGCACCAGGAGGCAAACAGATCAGCCTCTGGGGGCCCAGGGAGCAGCAGCCTATTGGTCGCGGTCCCAGCATGCACTGCAGGGGAAGAACAGGAAGGTTAGTGCCGCTAAGATGGGCTTGTACTACTCAACCCAGGATGTCTGGCTCCAGCCTCCCCACCACCCACAACAGCCCCTGCAAGTTTCCAGGAGGACGCCGCACCATCCGTGCCGGTCCCCTGGCCCAGCCTGCGGGTCTCTGGCTGGCCGACCACTCCTCCCTCACTCAGCGCCAGCCACACCGCCACCCTGCTGCTCCCTCTGCCCATGGCCCCCACTACCTCCTGATCCTCACAGGCCCGGCTCCTTCTCCTGATTCAGGTTCAGCTCAAGGCACCTCCTCAGAAAGCCCTCCCTGAGCTCCAGGTGCGGGAGGCCCTCCTTCCCCGTGTCACACGACCCTGATTGACTGATCTGTCATTCCGGTTGCCCTGTCTCAACAATCTCACAGAGAGCTTTTTTTTTTCCAGGCAGGTTAATGGAGCTATAATTTACCTAGAGTAAAATTTACTCTTTCTAGTGCGCAGTTCTATGCGTTCTCAAAGCTGCAGACAGCCATGTAACCACTACCACACTCAAGACAGAGAACAATGCTATCAAAACTCTCCACGTGCTGTCCTCTGTAGCCAACTCCCCGCCAACCCCAGCCCCAAACAACCACTGACCTATTTTCTGTCTCTATAGTTTTGCCTTTTCCAGAATGCCAAACAAATGGAGTCATCTACAGGTATCTTTTTGAGTCTGGCTTTATTCATTTAGCATATAATGCATTTGCGATTTACCTTCGTTGTTTCTTTGTTGTTCCCAGTTTCATTCTTTTTTTATTGCTGAGTAGTATTCAATTGTTCATCCATTTACTAGCTGAAGGACTCTGAACTGTTTCCAGTTTGGGGCAACTATGAATAAAGCCACTATCAATAGTCACATACAGGTTTTTATGTGAACATAAGTTGTTACTTCTCTTGGGTAAATACCTAGCAGTAGGATTGCTGGGTTATACAGTAAACATATTTTTAACTTTATAAGAAACTGCCAAACTGTGGGGGTTTTTTGTTTTGTTTTGTTTTTTGCCAAACTGTTTTCTAAAGTGGCTATACCATTTTGCATTCCCGCCAGCAACACCTGAGAGTTCTAGCTGCTCTGTATCCTCACCTGGACTTGGTATTGCCAATTTTGTAGATATCAGTGTAATAGACATGCAGTGGTGGCTCCCTGGTTTTATTTTTTCACATACCTGATTTATTGTTTTCATACCATCTCTATTTGAAATTATTATCTTAATTTAATTATTTATCTCTTTATCTTCCATTTTCCCAATCATATGTGAGAGCAGGGACCTTGACATCTACCCCCCGCCTCCCGCATCGCCTAGCTCAGTATCTGGTACTGGGTGATGGTGATGATGATGGTGATGGTGATGATGGTGATGATGGTGATGATTGTGATGATGATGATGGTGATGATGGTGATGATGGTGATAATGATGGTGATGTGATAATGATGGTGATGATGATGATGATGGTGATGATGGTGATAATGATGGTGATGATGGTGATGGTGATGATGGTGATGATGGTGATGACTGTGATGATGATGATGATGATGGTGATGATGGTGATGTGATAATGATGGTGATGATGATGATGGTGATGATGATGGTGATAATGATGGTGATGATGGTGATAATCATGGTGATGATGGTGATGGTGATAATGATGGTGATGGTGATTATGGTGATGATGGTGATGAGGATGGTGATGGTGATGATGGTGATGATGATGGTGATGATGATGGTGATGGTGATGATGATGGTGAAGATGATGGTGATAGTGGTGGCAGCTGCAGTGGTGATAGTTAACATTTATAGAGTACTTATCATGTGCCCAGCACTGTTCTGAGTACTTCACAAATACTAACTCATTTAATGCTCACACTTACCCTAAGAGAGATAGATACTATCATACTATCAATATCCCCATTTTAAGAGGAGAAAGCTGAGGCAAAGGGCAAATCACATAGCTGATGAGGGGCCAAGCCAAGCTTCAATCCCAGGAGTTCTGGAATCAGACCCCACAGTTGTAATCAGTACACTCTATGGCCCACAGCGGCCACATTTGCTGAAGGAATGAAAGCCTGGAAGAAAGGCAGTATCTTCCAGCTCTCTCTCATGGCAAGGGTATGCTCTTGGGCTTGGGCTCATATCCAGTGTGCCATAGACAAGAGTGTTTGTGTCCCCTTCACCCCAATTTCATATGTTGAAACCGAAGCCCAGTATAATGGTATTTGGAGGTGAGGCTTTGAGGGAAGGGATTAGGTCATGAAGGTCTCATGAGTCTCATGAATGGGATTAACACCCTTACAAAAGGGACCCCAGAGAGCTCCCTTGTGCCTTGTGCCATATAAGGACACCATAAAAAGATGGCCGTCTATGAACCAGGAAGTGAGCCCCCACTAGACACCAAATCTGCCAGCATCTTGATCTCAGACTTCCCAGCCTCCAGAACTGTGAGAAATAAACTTCTCTTGTTTATAAGCCACCCAGTCTGTGGTATTTTGTTAGAGCAGCCCAAATGGACTAGACACAATGGCTTCTGGAAGTCTCCTCTTGGATCTTCTCCCTCCAAAACTGAACTCATCCTCACTCTCATTCCTGCTTCTCCTCTTGAGAAATTCATTTTTTGGGATGGTGTTGGTATTGAAAGCAGCCAATGGGGTAAGGGGGGGGAGAGGCTGAGTCAAACCTAGAGCCTGGTGGGTGGAGGCCCTGGACCAGGGCCTGCCGTGGGGCTTATTTATCCGTAGGGACTCTTCCTCAAAGCTTTTCCCATCAGGCTCTCCCAGACACCCTGGGCTTCCCCAGCCTTAGCCACCTCAGGTGGAAAGAATGAACAGCAAGTCAGGGCCTTGGCTCTTCTGAAGCCCTGGCTCTGAGAGGGGTCCCACAACACCCATTGTACAGAAGATTTTACTGGTCACTGAATGTCTGGGCACATTTCCTCCACACCCTCCTCATCCCAGTATGATGTGCCCTTTCCTCAGCCCCCTTACAGTTAATGGAGGCTATATGAGAATTTCTGGCCAATGGGTTATAAACAAAAGTGATGTGTGTCACTGCTGGGCCAAGGCATTTAAGAGCAGAGTGTGACTCTACCATTTTTTCTTCTTTGCCACAGTGACTGAAGGAGACCACGTGTTCCAGATGGGGCAGCTACAAGATGGTGGAGCTTCTGTCAGCCCGGGTCCCTGGATGTCTGTATGGACCACAGTCTGCCACCCTCCCTACTTCCCACATTGGACACGTAATGTGAGGTCATACTGTAAATAAAGGAAGAAAGGATATGGGAACCTTTGTTGTACTAAATCCCTGAGAGTTCCCAGAGAACCTGTTGTGCAGCACGACTCTGCCTACCCTACTGCATCCCCACTGGCCACTTGGGACACGTGACCTTGCCGTATTTGGTTTGAGAGCGTATTTGGATGACTTTGTGAGTGAGAGAACCAAGCTCCATTTGGGAGCCCTAAATAACTAGGATATCGGTGGGGGACAGAAATATGTCAATCCCCAATTTCAAGGGTTCCCTATCCACAAGGGAAAGGGGGGAGTTTCAGGCCCTGTAGCAGGATCCATCACCAGGACAATTCTCACCTGGAGAAGGGAGGTGTGAGCAGATGCAAGTGACAGCATCTCCATGACAGTTGAGGCCTTGGCCTATGTTCAAGGGCTTGAACTTGACTTTAGAACAAAGGCTGGGGCATCCTCAGAGCTTTACCCCTGGCTCAGGTCTGGGATCAGCTTTGGAAAGGCCCTGGGGCCCCCTACTTGTCTGCCCTGGATTAACAGCTGGGGGCTGGGGCACTCCAACAGGGCTTGGAGCCACAAATGAGAGCAAGCTGCAAGCTGAATTATAGATTTATATTTTGAACTTACTGGCACTTTACTTCGGCAATTATCGCCTTAAATGTTGTGTGTTCCTGTGGGACAATAAAGGGAACAGGGAGAAGAGGCAGCCCCTCAAGATAACAGCAGGCTCTGGCAGGCGACCCAAGAGAAAAGCCCCTAATGTCCATAAATGCCCCTGTGATTCCTCGTTCTTTCCAAGAAGTAAGATTTGGCTGCAGTGGATTATACTGCCTCCCCTTCACCCCCTCCTGAAAAAAAAAAGGGGGTAGCATACAGCTTCCTTGTGGCTGTTAGAAAGACTTCTATTGTAAGGGCAAACTTGAAAAGTTTCTTGAGTGCTGATGCTGGTGTCAGTACTTGTTTACGAGCTTCCAAAGTCTCGTCTGGCTTTGAACTTGGGCCAGGTTAGCTGGAAGTCAGAGCGTGGTGCAGCACCCTGCAGAGGTCCTGGGGTATACTGGGGAAAGGTATACTGGTATACTGGGGAAAGGGGGCTTGGGTTGGAGGTGGGGGGAGATGTTGAAGAAACCCCTAGGACAAAGCCAGGCTTGGTGGAACCTGGGGACCCTGGAGACCCGGGGACCAGGCTTCCCAAAAGCAGTCATAAAGAATCCTCTCTCAGAGGCTTTGGGGTAGGGGGTCTGCTGTGTAATTGGGTGTAACTGTCCCCTGGGAAGCACTGAAGCAAGTTCGGCCACCCTTTGGGTTAAAAATAAACAGGTGTGACTGATAACCGTGCAACTGAAAACAAAATCCTGCAAGCAACAGGCAATAACTGCTCCATTCTTTAACACCAGGATTTATTTACCTGGGAGTTTATTTTGATGATGAGAAATCCATAATGGCGAGTTTGGTGATTTCGGTGAGAAATTTTTAACTGGGTGCAGACCTGAGGTTTTAACCCAGTTTGAGCACCTTGCACGGACCCTCACAGCCATGGGATTTGCTTGGATATGTTAATGGGAAGAAACTGCACAGAATCTGCTGTACTTTCTGCTTTTGTTTCCTCTGGGCAAGTTTCCTGGCCAACGATGCTGAGAACGACTCATCCCACGGTCAGGGATCCAGTGATGGCTGTGGCTAGAGGGGAGAGTTGCCTGGGCTGGGGTCAGCTCAGACCCCCCGCCGAAAGTACA